TCGAGTAATTGTAATGCTGTTCTTTAAACTTATCGAGTTGTCGATAACAATTGATTCACTAAAATTTTTCGATTTATAGAGACGAAATTTTTGAAATATTGAAAATATATCGAGTTATTGAAATTTTGTGATTATATAACTTTATCCATTTATCATTGCTTATTGAACTTTATCGTGTTGCCTGGGTGTAACGAGATGTCGGGATTTGCCAGTAGCTTTCGAAAAATATGGAGCTATAATACTAACCGAGTTAAAGAAATTTATAGAGGTATCCAAAGTTTATCGAGTTATCGATTTATATCGAGAAACGCACTCTTATCGAAATTAATCAAACATTATGGAAATTAGTCGTGTTATCGAATTTTGCTGAGTTATCGGATTATCGAATTTTTTTAAATGCATTTTATTAACTAATTTACGTACCTAAATATTTTTATTTTTGTAACTTTATATAAATATTAGAATGCCTTAGGGTTTAGGCAAAAAAAATGTGTCTACTAATTTTTCAAATTTTTGTCGAATCAATGATTCCTACCATAATAAGTACATTGTGTGGCTTAACGAAGACCCACTCCTGAGCTGCACACCTTTGCTTGCTATCTCTTAAAAACGGATTTTTCATAAAAGACGTTTCTAATTCCAATTTTTTCTATGTACTTAGTAAATATTAAAATTATTATATTCTAAATTTAAAAATCTGGCAGGCAATTCCAAGATTCACAGCGAAAACACTTGTAAAAAATTATCACCGACCAATATTTGAATATTGGTTTAGACATGATTGAATTTTTCATTTTAATTGTTAATTGCATTTAGAAGATGCCTTTAAAGTGTGGAAATTGAAAAGTGGTAAGTTCAAAGTAATTTGCATACAAATGAGTATACACAGTCAAGCGAGATTTCAAGAGTTTCCCGATTCTTTTAAGTGTTGTGAAGAATATTTCTGATAACGTTTTCAATATTTGTAAAAGGATGTCTGACTGTTTTTATTTCAGATACGCCAACAATATTTCGTGATCCATCCTAATGTACAAAATGCCCATATATCCACAATCGCAATCAGCAATGACACTGATTCAACCACCGCGCTGGTCTTTACACTAAGTAATCATAAAAAGCATACCTTCATGGATTCATTATTAATGCCATTTGACTAATGTCTGGATTTACTATCGCCCATCAGATAACTATTTTCGGGTTGTTTTTTATAACAAAATGTACTGTTTACCCATGTTAGTTTTGGAATCCCCTGAGATATCTACGAATTTCAGCGAATTTTTATCAGTGAGTAATTTGAAATTGTTCACAGATTATGAAAATATACACACATATAATATACATATTTATGTTAAACCAAAAAATTATGTTATCAATTTGCACATGAGTAATAACCCTGTAGGGAAAACACGAACTAGTGAACCAGATTTCTAGTTCAGTACTAGTTATTTTTTTGCCAAAAACGAACCAGTCCGATAGTAACCAGTTCCGCACCAGTCCAAAAGCAGTGAAATGTGGTACTTTCACTAAACTCTTCTATTTTAAATTTTAAAAGCAGGGAAGGTAATCATTATGAGTAAAATAATTTAAATCAGCATTTAATCATTATTTTATGAATTATTATTGAGTTTTATTTTTTCGCTCAAACGGAAATAATTATTATTTGATTTTTATTTTTGGGATTACAAATAATGATTATTTTATGATTTTTATTTTTTCGCGCAGAGATTATCATTAATTTTCAGTTTTATTTTTTCACTTAAAAATAATGATAATTTATAAAATTGAAAAGGTCATAAAGACGCAGCCTACTGGAATTTTTACCAGAAAAGTTCGGGTCTTATTCCTTTTATAAGGGTGCGGCTAACTCTTAAAAGGATACGTCGGTATAGTTTTTGAGTTGCTTAATAATCATTATACTTAGTGATTTCATAAACAAAGGCCAAGATCCTGAAGGACAATTGAGAAAGGCAATGCAGTTGCAGAAAAAGAGGCATTTAAAAAAAAAAAGTGTCAAAAGAATTATCACTTTTTCACTAAATTTATTTAAAAATGCAAGGCACCAGAGCTACCTTTTTTTAATAAAAGACAAAATTATTTTTTTTCTTTATGCAATCCAGCACCAGATACCTTAATACAGTCAGTCAATAAAATTTAGGTACAACGAATTTTTTACAATACGGGCAACTATTTTTTAAATATTTTAGTTTTCGGTAATTTTTTATAAGAATATGGTCAATTCTACAACAAAATCCCCAAAAGTCAGAGTTCCAAGCCTTGTGCAAAATTTAAGAAAATTCTGCAAAATGTCATTAAAATAATTCACTTTCTATTTACGCTCTCTAGAAAAAGTTGTTTAGTCCATTCAATTTTAGTTGTAACAACAAAAAAAAAATGCTAAATATCAATGGTAAGTCCTAGCTACCTCAAACGTGCACTTTGTTATACTAAAATTGAATGGGCTAATAACTAAGTACTTAACTTTTTTCTAAAGAGTGTAAATTGCAACACTTGGATGGAAATTCGCAGAGTTTTCTTTAATTTTCCATAAGGTTTGGAACTCTGATTTTTGGGGTTTTTGGTGTAGAATTAACCATATTTTTATAAAAAATTAGGGGGAAAAAATATTTAAAAAATAGTTGCTGGTATTGTAAAAACTTCACTGTACCTAAACTTTATTGACTGACTGTATATCTTATTTAAGTTAAGTACGACAAAAACCTTCGAAGTACTTCATATACATATAAGCTTAAAAAGAACTGAATTTACTTAAAAATCAATATGCTTAAATTTAGACAAGTAAGACAAAGTGAACTAATATTTTTACTTTTAAGCAGAACGCACTTTTGTTTTTTACTTACTACTTAAGTTTAATACTACTACTACTACTAATGTGGTTTATACATTTTTAATAAATGCGTTTAAACATTTGCGATTGTATTGTCCTTCCTTCAACCGATCGTATTTAATATAGAAGGGAAATGTTTCGACAAGCCTGATTAGAAATGTAGCTCTAAGGTGACGAATTTATAACAGGTTGGGAACTACATATAAAAAATGGATGCAGATCGAACTATTGGAACTGGTTCGGAACTATAGAAAAAGAGGTGCAAAACGAACTAGATCTTATCTGACGAATTTCGAACTGGTTCGGAACTAGAGCCAAAGGAATGCAACGGGGGACAATTGACACTTCATAGGACATCGCAATGCTAAATTCGCCAGTCGCTAGCATGCAAAAGAGAATTAACGCGTACTAGTCATGGTTCCAAACGCACTAGAACCGAACCAGTTCCACACTAGTTCGTTTCCCTACAGGGAAGTAAACAACCGTATGCCGCAAAGTAATCATAAACTACTTAAATAGCTTAAATTTGGGTTTTAAATAAATAAAATTAACCTTGCTGATAATCATAGCTCATAAAAATATTCATATGCTCATTTGCACATATTATCAACACAAATATTTTAGATATTATAAAATAAATATTTGTAAAAAAATTAGTTTGACCTAAAATAACTGTTGATTTTCAAAACTTTTTTTATGCAGTAGGAGATCCGACAAGGGCACGACCTTCACCCATCTGTTTAATGGATGAAATTTACTTTGTATGAAATTTAACGTATTAGGAAATATTTGGCGAGTAGGTTGGTTGAAAAAATACTGGTCATGATATTTTTAATTAATTATTCAAAATTTAATTATTATTATTTTTTTTAATTTTGCACTCATTTCATTACTTAATTTAATTAAGTTAAAATTAATTAAAAACTGAAACCAGTTATTACTAAAGGGATATCAATTGAAATGGTTTTAAAAAGCTTTGTTTCTTAACTTTACTGTATGAGGGATGCCACCTGTTAAAATCAACTTGAATTAAGGGAATTAGGTATTAAAAATATGTATAACCATATGGGCGCCAAACGAAAAGTGTTTAAGGAGGTAATAGTTTGTAAATATTTTGAACAGGGTTGCCAACAGTTCAAAACTCGAATTCAGTTAAGTTATTAACAATGAAACATTTAAATATGCCTAACAAAAGAGTGATAAGAAATCTTAAGTTTTTACGCTAAGAATATTTTTGAGGTGTTAGAAGTGAGTTGCCACCCATGTAAAAATTTAAGTTCAAATTATTTATTAGATTTAATGAATTATTAAAATATTTGTAGATATCACTCGAAATGGGTTTGACAAGGCTTTATTTCTGAACTATATTTTTAGGGTTTCCCCATGTTCTAAAAGTCAAATTCTACTTAATTCATCTGTTTATAAGAATGTGTACCAAGATGTCAAACGAAGGTTGCTAAAGAAGGTTTTAGCTTTAAAATATTTTGAAGAGGGCTGCCACCTGTTTGAAAAGTTGAATTTAATTTACTTAAATATGTATATACAAATTATACGAATATAAAAATACGGATGTCCAATGGAAGATTTTTAAGAAATTTTTAGTTTGAACAGTTATAATGATTGAAAAGGGTTACCATCCGTATAAAAGTTACATTCAAATTATTTGGAAAGTTAAATGAAGTACTAAGAAATGGATATCAATCGAAATAGGGTTTAAAAGGCTTTATTTATGACCTTTATTTAGGGGGTTGCGTTCTGTTGCTTTTTTTGACTTTCTTTTCTATTTTTCGGCCTCAATTTCTTCTACTATATACGATTGTTTTACATTGATGATTTGTAACGGTCGTAATGAATTGCTAAATAGTATATAATAAATATAAAGCATATCTATAAGATCAAAAGGTAAAAAAGGCAGTAAAAATTATATATATAGGTTTATTATATTCCATATGCTAAAGATAAAAATTGGCAACAATATACATTTGGATAGTACATATATCCTGACTTATATCCTGTACTTATTTTCATACCACTCAAGATACTTACGAATTTGCTCACTAAAAAATATTTTACTTAACTAAGCGTGGTAAAATAGTTTATGTATAGTATTTCAAAAAACATTTCCTAATAAATATTTGTATCTAACTTTTTTCAGAATGGTCGATTTTAAAGTACAACAAAGACGTTTTCGTACCAGCGAAAAAACAATTGTCAGCACTATTTATGGACCAATAAAGGGTGTTAAACGCAAGTCCATCTATAGTGATTCGTACTACAGTTTCGAAAAAATACCATTCGCTAAACCGCCGGTAGGTGAGCTGCGCTACAAAGCACCACAACCGCCAGAGCCATGGATAGAAGTGCGGAGTTGTACTTCACGCGGGCCGAAGCCATTGCAAAAGCATTTCGTATTTCAAATGACAGAAGGCTCCGAAGATTGTCTCTATCTAAATGTGTATACAAAGAATGTGAGTTGTACATATATAAAACTGCGTAAACCGCAAAAAAATCATCAACTTCTTCTCTCTTCATACGCAGCTAAATCCACAAAAACTCATGCCGGTCATGGTGTGGATTTATGGCGGTGGTTTTCAGTTTGGTGAAGCCTCTCGTGAACTTTATAGTCCCGACTATTTGCTGCGCGAAGATGTCGTGATTATTTCAATAACATATCGCTTGGGGCCATTTGGTAAGCCTACTTCACCCTTATATTTACTATTTGTAACTAATTTATATGTATCATCATTCTCACAGGCTTTCTCTCTATGGAAGACCCCACTTTTGATGTACCTGGCAATGCCGGTCTCAAAGACCAAATTATGGCATTGCGTTGGGTGAAAGCGAATTGTGAACGCTTCGGCGGTGACAGCAATAATATAACACTTTTCGGTGACAGCGCTGGCGGTGCCTCTGTGCACTATATGATGATAACCGATCAAACATGTGGTCTTTTTCACAAAGCGATATCCATGTCGGGCAATGCACTTTCACCCTGGGCAGTAACACCTCAACGCAATTGGCCATATCGGCTAGCAGTGGCCGCTGGCTATGCGGGTGAAAATAATGATACAGATGTTTTTGACTTTCTAGGCAAAGCAAAAGGTGCTGATATTGTGAAAGCAAATGAGGATCTTTGTTCGGATGAAGAAAAACGTGAACGCATTGGTTTCTCCTTTGGTCCAGTGATCGAGCCATATGTGACTGATCATTGTGTGGTACCCAAGAAACCGATTGAAATGATGCGCACCGCATGGAGTAATCACATTCCCATGATTATTGGTGGTGTATCGAATGAGGGATTGTTGTTGTATTCGGGTGAGTAGCTTTACGGCGTTCAACTGATTTTCATATTGCGTGCTCTTTTATAAAATTTCATTAAACTCCTTTTTCGGTTCCATTTCTTTCTTTTTAATGAGATTCCATTTTATGCCAAGAAATGTAAATTAATACTCTTTTAATTTTGTTTCATTCCATTCCCTTCCGTTCAATTTAATTGCATCCCTCTACTTTCCATTCCATCCCTTTCCGTATTGTTAACTCTTCCCGTTTATACCTCTTACTCTGTTTTATTTCGTCCCATCTCGTTCCGTTCCATACGTGCCGTTCCATCTCATTGCTTTCCATTACGTCCCCGTTCCCTTCCATTCCATCTCGTTCAATTCTCATTCTTTTACCTGAAGTTTAATTTTTCCTCCACATTTTATTTCATTTTATATCATTCAATTTTATTCATTCCATGCTAATTTCTCCATTTAATTTACTTATATTCCATTTCATTTTATACCACTTGATTCCATTTTATTGTATTCCACCCAATTCTATTCTGTTTCATTCCATACCATTCCATTCTACTTTCCATTTATTAAATTGTCTGGCACGAAGTATCGTTCTATTGCATAATCTTATATTTCGTTTCATTGCACTATGCATATGTATCTTATAGCGCTTCATTCCTATTCCTTTGCAATTCTTACTAGGTTACTCTGAACTCATTTGAAATGAAAATAGTTTTCTTGTATTTTTGCGATTTTTGAACAATTCTTCTTATATGTATTTTAAATAACAGAGACCAAAAAAAATCCCAAATTACTCAACGAACTTGGCGATTGCCGTTTTGTGGTGCCACTCGAACTTGGCATGGACCGCGATGGCGATCTGTGCAAGGAATATGGCCTACAATTGCGTAAAGCTTACTATGGTGATAAGGAGCCGAGCTTAGAAACTTTACATGAGTACCTGTTGGTAGGTTAAAAAGCGCCCCCTTCATTAAAAGCTTGTTTGTAATTTTTAAATTCTTATTCCGCAGATGGTTTCCCACGAGTACTTCTGGTTCCCCATCTATCGCACAGTATTGTCACGCACGGCGCATGCCACAGCACCCACCTACTTGTATCGTTTCGATTTTGACTCGAAACATTTCAACCATCTGCGCATACTCAGCTGTGGCAAGAAAGTACGTGGCACCTGTCATGGTGATGATCTTTCCTATTTGTTTTACAACTCATTGGCGCGCAAGCTGAAGAATCATACACGCGAGTACAAATGCATTGAGCGGCTGGTTGGCATGTGGACACACTTTGCCATGCATTCCGATCCCAACTTTGATCCGGAGTACGTTGATCTATGGCAGCCTGTAACGAAGGATAATTTTGAGAAACGACAACTAAAGTGCCTTAATATTTCCGATGATTTGAAGGAGATTGATGTGCCCGAATTGAAGAAGTTACAAGTATGGGAGAACTTTTTTTGCTGTGATGAATTAATTTGAGGAGATTTATTAGGGGTAGTGGAATTAATTTGACCTGAGTAGCTAAAGGTAAACAAATTGAATGTGGCTGCCTCGGATTAGATTTAAGAGTTTCTTATAGCAAAGCTTAGAAAATATGTACACTGATTGACAAGCTTTTGAGTGAAGCTTTATGAAATGTGAAACATTATTATTCTAAGAATTATTCTATTAAGATTTTTGACTTCAATTTGATACAAAAAAGAAGCAGTAAGGATTTTAAAAATACATACTAACAAAATTACGTTTTAGAAGCTTTTTCGAAGCTTTCTATGAATTATAAGGGGGATAACAAAGTCTCTCTGGCCATCGCGGTTCAAGAAAGCTTTAAATAGTTTTTTTTCGCCATAACTCAAAGAAAAAAGAGAAAAAGCTCCTCAAGTTGATCACAATTGGTTAAAAAGCGTAAAAGCTCGCTTTAGCGAACATTGTTTTTCTTATCGGTACGTAGGTACAAAGGGTAAAAGCTCTCTTTGGTCATCACATTTTTAACCAAATTCTTTGTGGAAAATTATAGCTACATATTGTTTTGAGCTTTTTGAAAAAACGAAGCACCAAAATTTTTGAAATCTAGAAATATTCAAATAATTTTTTTTTTTATATTATATGTATATTGAAATAATTTCACGTGTACTAATTTTTTTTTTTTTCAATTTACTTTACATGTATTTTTTGAAGTTATGAGCGTAAAAATTATTACTTATATTTTTTTTTAATAACGACAAACGCAAAAAAATCACTAAAAAATATAATCAAAATCTATAAGTTTTTTAAACATCTTTTCTAGCTTCAGAGACACTATGTCTGAAGCTTGTCCTATATCTTTTTATAATCTTTGAACTTTTAAAAAATACTAAACCGCCTAAATAATCGCCGTGGCTAACTAAAAAGTTTAAAATTTATTACCTTTATGTAAATAGCTTAGAGTGTAATTTATTTTAAGCAATCACACACATATATAGATGTACATTATATAAATATATCGATATATTTTGTAGATAGATACTAAAGAAGCCACCTGAAACAACTAAACCACCAATTCAATTGCAAAGTTGCTCTATTGTTCTAATTACCAAAATGTACTAGTATTAAGAAATCAATTCGTATTCCCTTAAATAAGAATTGATGATCATATTTGTAGATATATTTTTTTAAGAATATAACTTTTTTAATTGCAAAGATGCAAGGGACGTCTTCCAGTCGCATGAAAGACAGAGATTTAAAGCTCTAACGAATATCTACTATAAAAGGAACAAAGCTTACGAGCAGCGTTTGGAATATTATTTTTTTAAGTTTAAATTTTAAGCTTAGAATTGGCTCTTAAAATCGGGAAATACATATAAAATGACACCTCCAAGCTTTGAACACGAAAGCTAAATGATAAACTTTCAGAGATTTAAGATTTCATTAGTACAAAAAGTGAAAAATCCATTCTTTAGCTTACGAAAACATTAGTACCTATTTTTATTTTTGTGCATGCCAAACATATAACTATTAAGTGAAAGTTTAAAAGCTCTTTTTTAAACTTGAAAATAATATTCGTATAATGTCGGTTTACCCTGCCGAAAAAGCTTGCTAACAAAAAAAAAATTATTAGGCTAAAAGTGGTGATGGGCATAACCTTGCCCGTTCGCAGAGCTTTTCGAAGCTTTCTATCCACTTTATATGAAGAACAAATGCTCTACCTCTGCACATTACTGGTATAAACTAAAAGTTTTGTTTATTAAATTATCCATTTGAATTAGGGATCCCAAAGCGCAAACTAGGGCTAAGGTGATTTATTTATATGGTTTTCCTCTAGATTCCTTTTATTGATAAAATAAATTGCTTTAAATGTATATTCTATCATTTAGCTGTGTGCCAAATCCCAGGTCTACATATAACAAAAATATTGAAAACGAAGAATATTATAGATATGTCATAAAAATATAAAAACTTTAGCTATAAAACTACATTCACAAATATCCTGCAACAGAAGTACCTTTTTGCTATAAAGTGTTACATGAAATTGAACAGAATGTGATTAATAGGCAAGTAGTAACTTTAGTAAAAAAAACAAGATAACTGTATGAAAGCTGAAAATAAGACATTAAATATTGATTCAGTGTCGGTGAGAAAGACTTTTTTACATAGTTGCTACACAAGCAAGATAAATAGCGCCGTGGTAACATTAAATACTTATTTGTGTATGTGTTTTTTTTTACCAAAAAGCATATGTTCCAATGCAAAATTTTAGAATGTAAGTTTAGGCGCCGGAAACGGAACTTTAAGAGGAGTCAACTCGCTTTCGAAAAAAAACCGAAGTAATAAGACGTACAAATAAATATAACATTCATATGGAAAATCAATTATTACTACAGAATGAATATAAATCTAAACATGGCTTGACTCAGTCAGCATTCTCAGTCATAAGGTACACGAAATCAGGTGTCACCGGGGAAAAAAAACAGTATCCAATCGCATCTTTACGATACTAAAGCGCGTCGCAGCAATGACCAGAAAACGATTTGTCGCGTATAAAAAATTAGTCAACCTGCGACTTTCGCAGTCTAATAACACCCAAAACAAAAAAAATTCACTTCTCACTAAGCTTCTAAGGGTGCGTTCACACAGGAAGTGGAGCTAAGCTAGGTATATGAAAGTGCTCATATAGCAAGCTTTTCCACGAACGTTTTGGAGCTGAATGCAAAGGTTTTATTTTTATTTTCAATTTTGTTTTAAATCTTTCAGCTTCATGACTGATGCGAACGCAAAAAAAATTTTTAAACAAAACCCTATTTTTCGTGGAAGCAATTAGGGTTCGAAATTTCAGACTTTGGTATCGATACTGAGTACTCATTCTGGCATCGAGCTCATGGTATCGATACTCTAAAAGTATCAGGGAAAAAGTATCGATACTACTCAGTATCGGACTCATTAAAATACGTTTTTTGGGATACTAAAATTATTTTATTCTTCAATCGTATATCTAGTTATTTCCTGAAATTAAAACAAAAAAATTTAAAATATTTGATTTTTATTTCATTGCAGAACTTACTTTCACGTTAGAAGTAATTTTAACGTCAAATGTACATACATATATATATATATATATATATATATATATATATATATATACTTTCACGAATTTCAAGTTTTATTAAGAAATTTGTGTAAAGTTTTAGTATGCATTTTTGTAGCCTATTAAATTTTAGTATGATAATGTGCAAGTTTGAATTAAAAGTCAACAGTAGTAGGCTACACGTAAATTTGAATAGGTTACAAAACTGCATTCCCAAAAAGTTTCTAAAAAATCTGCATTTTCGTGAACTTTGCGTAAAGTTTTATGTCCTTATTCATAAAAAATAAAAAAGGTTTATAAACTGAAAAATTTATGAAAATGTCATTTTATTAAGCTCTTTAAACCTACTTTATTTTTTATGAATAAGGCCACTAAACCTTCACTTATTTGGTTTATGTTATGCAACAGAATACACGCAATTGCAGTTTATTTTAAGTGATAGACAAAATTGAATGATAGTAATCCATATAAGCAAAGAAAGCAATGGAAGAAAAAATCTAAAAAGTGTGCGTTTTAAAAAGTATTCGATACTACGAGTACCTTGCAAAGTATCGAGTAAAAACACCAAATAAGGTATCGAGTATTAAAGTACTCATTTTTATACCCTCAGTATCGATACTTACTCAATATCGATAGTATCGTTCGAACCCTAGAAGCAATTGAAACAAATTGATCAAGTATTGCAGCCGCTTTTCAATTAAGGTAAGTTTTGTGATAACTTTGCAGCCGATTCCATACAAAAAGCTCTGCTCCGCTTCGTTTAGTGTGAACTCCAGCAAATCCGCTCCGCTCTTATTTGCTTCATTCGGCGCCACTCGGCACCACTCGGCATTCTGTGTGAACGCACCCTATGATTTTTAGAAGAGTCAGCAAATATCAGCTTATTCGGCGCAGACATGACAAATCCTCAGACAAAAAATCTTCCAAATGCGGGATGCCTTCAGCTAAACTATACGTATTTTACATATGTATGCGTGAATTGAATGAAATTAGTATACTTCAGTCATGACTCATGAGCCATAAAAATTTTTTTAAATGCCTGCTCATAACAATTCTAAAAAAAAATAGTACTATCACTAATTCTCACTAAAGCGAAAAAAATATTCAAAGTATTCCTACCCTTATTTGTGCCGGCAATTTTTGACTCCATCGAGAATATATAGGCTACCAATTTGATTTGACTCATTTTTCCATATTAGTTTGTGCGGCACCATCATAAACAAGCGTGATTTAAGGGTGAAGGTGTGTTGCTGTGCCTAATTTTTTTTTTTTGCATGCTGTCGAGTACTAATCATTTCGCTCCCGTTTGTAAAAGTTTCGCTCCTCAATTCTTGAAATCAAATAATAAGAATTCTGAAATAACAGACTCAAATCATTTAAGTGGTTCCACTGAACTCTTGGTGTTTGTTTCATGGAGCTGCGACTCATTTCGGTATAAAGCAAGCCACTTGATGATGCCACTATACAGGTTCATACTAACAGAGAACTTAGTCATTGTTCATACTCTCGCTTTGTGTGACGTGCGTTAACGATTATTAGTGGATATGGGTGAATGTTGTTCTTTGACTTACATATATCCACTAATACTCTTTCTTGCGCTTGCCAAACAATGACTTAAAATGGCGAATGATTGCAGATCTCTGATGCGTGTACAAATACATTCGTATTGTGCGTTCCGTGCGGTAGAAACTTCCCACAAAAAAATATAAATAAATATTTCGTATAAATTAAAATTTTGTAATTAACAAAAAATACAAAAATTTGAGAAGAAATTTGAAATCAATTCTCACAGAACAATTTTGTAATAAACGCACTAAAGAAACAATGTGTCGTTTGAAATATTTTGTAAGACATTTTATATTGTTTATATAATAAAGCTTCGATGTGATGCTAATAGTTTATAAATATTTTAATATGAATGTTTACATATAAAAAAAAACTAATAAATAAAATGTACTAATTGTTTGAAAAGAAGAGTAAAGAAGAATAAAACTAATTTTTCTTAAAGGTTGAAGTTTTATTTGTATTTAGTTAAAGGGGGTTGTAAAGTAAAGTTGCCATATTTTATAGCTACGTATAGGTTCTTATATATCAACGTTTGTTGTGGGAGCCCCTTATGACTCCATATTTGGAGCGCTAAAATTTTGACATAATTTTAATTATTTGCAACAGCTGATGAACGACGCCAACTGTTGGCTATGTGGACGGCTGCTTTATAATTCATATATTCATAGTCAGCTGTTGAAGCGACGCCAACGCCAAAGCTGTAAATAGAGGGGCTTTTTAACAAGACAAACGAATACACAAAAGCGCGAATACCCATAATGTTATCATGTCTTTGGAGTCGATAACGAATGCATACTAAGTAGACAGACAACAGCTTACACATATATATGTATATGTACATACATACAAATATGCAAGCTAGCGAAAGTGTACAAATAAAAACAATACCACATACTACATACATACATTCATACATAAATTCAAATGTATATATGTACATACACTCCTATGTGCTTATGTACTTATTTATTTACGAAGCAAACCGCATAAACCAGATAAGGCAGCGGCTTAGCATAACCTTCGATAGCTCAGTTGGTAGAGCGGTGGACTGTAGATGTTAAATGCGAAGTAGAAATCCATAGGTCGCTGGTTCAAATCCGGCTCGAAGGAATACTATATACTTTTTTTATACCCCGTTTTTTGCACTAACTAATATTTTTTGATTTTGTTTTTTGTACATGTAACTTTAAATTAAAGAAATTTAAAGCAATTATCTAAATTATGAATTTTGATAACAAAATTAATGTTGTAAAGAAATAAATTAAAACTTAATTTACTACAAAGATATTTTCGGGTATCAAATTTCACTTGACTTTACAGCAGCTTCGACCCTGCAGCAATTCATACTCACCTTAGGTTAGCCCTCAGATAGTCCCTATTGTTGCCAGCACTAGTCCCTCATAATTCCCCTGCCAATGGTCTCAACTGCCATTTTTAGCATTGGCGTGTCATTGGAAAGGCCCAATCAACACTGACCCGGAGATAGTCCTGGACTAGTCCAATTTTGGAGATTTTTTTCGTTGGAGTAAGGAAATTCGGAACACAAAAAAAAACTAAATTTTATCACTTTATAACCATGTTGCTCTGACGGAATTTGAACCCGGACCCTCCTGAAAGCTAACAAATAGTGGCAAGCATCTCTGCGCACTGAGCTACAGCCACGCATGTAAATGTGTGTTCAAATGTTTACTTTGTATCAAGGCCAGACCAAGCGATTGGGACATTTACAGGGTGGTGTTCTTTAAATGTTTTTTATTAAATTGCAAGACCGCACCACCCTGTCACTGCCAAACTGTACCGGTTCCTTGGGGACTGGTCGAAGGCTGACATTTTCGATGCAAGCAAATGTCCAATTCTGACCAGTCAAATTTTAACCAGTGAAGTACTAGTCTTTTACGGAAAATTGGCCGCCTTATTGCTGCAGGGGATCAACTCATACGCTAACTTACGCAATCAAATTTTGCGCATGTGTTGAAAGTTCATCGATGTACACCCAAAGAAATCTGCAAACGTAACACAGAGTTTTTTTCTTTACTAAGGTAAGGTAGATAATTATGCAACGGAAATTGCAGTGAAAATAATAAATAATTTAATAAAAGGAGATCAAAACTCATTAACAC